TCCATCAGCAAGGGCATTGAAGATGAAACGTGGCTGGGTCTTTCAGCATGACAATGATCCCAAACACACCGCCCGGGCAACAAAGGAGCAGCTTCGTAAGAAGCATTTCAAGGTCCTGGAGTGGCCTAGCCAGTCTCCAGATCTCAACCCCATAGAAAATCTTTGGAGGGAGTTGAAAGTCTGTGTTGCCCAGCGACAGCCCCAAAACAACACTGCACTAGAGGAGATCTGCATGGAGGAATGGGCCAAAATACCAGCAACAGTGTGTGAAAACCTTGTGAAGACTTACAGAAAACGTTTGACCTGTGTCATTGCCAACAAAGGGTATATAACAAAGTATTGAGAAACTTTTGTTATTGTCCAAATACTTATTTTCCACCATAATTTGCAAATAAATTCATTAAAAATCCTACAATGTGATTTTCTGGAGAAAAAAAATCTCATTTTGTCTGTCATAGTTGACGTGTACCTATGATGAAAATTACAGGCCTCTCTCCTCTTTTTAAGTGGGAGAACTTGCACAATTGGTGGCTGACTAAATTCTTTTTTTCCCCCACTGTATTGCTCCTGGCTATAAGTGCCAACACCACCAGCCCTAGTTGGAGTGCAGCCTTTCAAACACAAGGTGAACACAGACAGTTTAAATATGGCTCCCAATCAGAGATAACGAGCCGACAGCTGACACTCGTTACCACTGATTGGGAGTCACACGACCAAACAAGGAAACAACCACATAGACAACCCAACCAAACAGAACACAACGAAACGAACACACCCTGGCTCAACATACAAAGTCCCGGAGCCAGAGCGTGACAGTACCCCCCCCCTAAAGGCGCGGACTGCGACCGCGCCTCAAAAACCCCAAACAGGGGAGGGCTGGGTGGGCATTACTCCTCGGAGGCGGCTCCGGCTCCGGGCTTGACCACCACCCTTCTTCAATCCCCCCGTAGCGCCCCCGGTCCGATCTGACCCAGCTGGTAGGATCTGGACTGACGACGCGCACCCCTGGCTTGGCGCGTGAGGCAGGAACGGACCGGACCTGGCTGACGATACGCACCCTAGGCTTGATGCGTGGAGCCGGAACGGGCCTCACCAGGCTGACGACTCGCATCCCTGGCTTGGTGCGAGTAGCAGGCACGAGCTGAACCAGGCTGACGACTCGCACCCTTGGCTTGGTGCGAGTAGCAGGGACGAGCTGAACCAGGCTGACGACTCGCACCCTTGGCTTGGTGCGAGTAGCAGGAACGGGCTGGACCAGGCCGACGACTCGTACCCCTGGCTTGGTGCGAGTAGCAGGAACGGGCTGGACCAGGCTGACGACTCGCACCCTTGGCTTGGTGCGAGTAGCAGGAACGGGCTGGACCAGGCTGGCGACTCGCACCCCTGGTTTGGTGCGAGTGGCAAGAACAGGCCGGGTCGGGCTGGCGACGCACGCCGTAGGCTTTGTGCGTGGAGCAGGAACAGGCCGGGCTGGGCTGGCGACGCACACCGTAGGTTTTGTGCGTGGAGCAGGAACAGGCCGGGCTGGGCTGGCGACGCACCCCGTAGGCTTTGTGCGTGGAGCAGGAACAGGCCGGGCTGGGCTGGCGACGCACACCGTAGGTTTTGTGCGTGGAGCAGGAACAGGCCGGGCTGGGCTGGCGACGCACCCCGTAGGCTTTGTGCGTGGAGCAGGAACAGGCCGGGCTGGGCTGGCGACGCACCCCGTAGGCTTTGTGCGTGGAGCAGGAACAGGCCGGGCTGGGCTGGCGACGCACACCGTAGGTTTTGTGCGTGGAGCAGGAACAGGCCGGGCCGGGCTGGCGACGCACACCGTAGGCTTAGTGCGAGGAGCAGGGACAGGCCGGGCTGGGCTGGCGACGCACACCGTAGGTTTTGTGCGTGGAGCAGGAACAGGCCGGGCTGGGCTGGCGACGCACACCGTAGGCTTAGTGCGAGGAGCAGGGACAGGCCGGACCGGGCTGGAGACGAGCACCGTCCATTTGGTGCGAGGAGCCGTAACAGGCCGGACCGTACTGGGGATACACACCACTGGCTCTACTCCGGGAACTGGAACGGGCCGGACCGGACTGGTAACACACCCCAGTACCTCTCGCCGTGCCTCTAAACCTCCTTTCCCTACTTTGACCAGTGAGCCCCGTAACCTGGTGGCCTTTTGAATTTGCCCCTTCTCTGCCTCCGTCAGCCCCGTCGACCATGCCCTGTGCCCCCCCCTAAAAATTTCTTGGGGGTGCCTCTCGTCCCTCCGACGCTGCTCCCACGTCCAGGCTGCCTGTTCCTGGACACGCTGCTTGGTCGTAGAATGGTGGGTTTTTCTGTCACGATCGTCTAATGAGGGAGTGGACCAAAGCGCAGCGCGTTGAGCGAACATGACTTTATTTAATTAAAGTGCAACACGAAAACCACAAAACAAATGACGATACGTGAAGTCCACAGTGACAATGACTGTACAGGAACAAAAACCCACAAACACAAGGTGAACACAGACAGTTTAAATATGGCTCCCAATCAGAGATAACGAGCCGACAGCTGACACTCGTTACCACTGATTGGGAGTCACACGACCAAACAAGGAAACAACCACATAGACAACCCAACCAAACAGAACACAACGAAACGAACACACCCTGGCTCAACATACAAAGTCCCGGAGCCAGAGCGTGACACAATGCCATTTGTCAGCCGCAATCATGTCCAGTGTTAGCTTCCTGGTAAAAGTGAGTTTAATAATTGCCTCTGGTAAGAAAGAAAAATGTGGATATTAGACCTCCCAGATGTAATTGAAATTCCTATTTTTAGTACTTCAGTGCGCTACAATACTTATCAGCAATTATTATTGACCCTGGTCCATCTATAAAAAAAAAGCCTAAAAATTCAAGGCCAAAAACAGCTCCCATATTCTCTTTACTCATTCAAACACTATCTTGTTTTGTGTTAAATTGTTTTCTCCTTTGAAGCAATTCAAAAAATAAACAGCTATGAGAATGAAATGTAATGCCTTGCCTTGCGAGGGAATTTGATAAGGCATTTCTTCCTAAAGTATTTTTTTTCTTCACATTTTCTGTTTGTAAACCAGTTACTGATATACAAACACTCTGTTTAAAGCTCAACCCATATGCTCTCTAAATATAACTGACAGATTAATGGGAGGTGGAAAGGGGTCAGTGGGTTACCCAGTTTATTGTTGGATAAGGCATCAGGGGATAAAATCTAAATGTATTTTGTCAGTAAAACTAAATTAAACTGTGCCTCCCTTTAGGAGTAGTATATTAATGCAGCTCTTATAATGTGATTTGTGACACTCTAAAATAAATGTAAAGCATTAACTCAATAATGAAATCATGGTAGCACTGTCCTGACTGAGTTCTACAGCGTAAACAGTCATAGGAATCATTGTCATAGTTTATCCATTATCTGTCCTTCAAGGGTACGAAGGCCAAACATCTCTACGCGTACCAATATGAAGCATACGTGTTTAGAAAAAGGTAAAAAGCACTCCAATAATTTCCAGGAAATTGAAATGAAAAGAAACCAGAACACAGTGGGAAAATGGAAAAATAGTGGTATGGCCCTTTCAAGACGTTTGTGTTTGTGATGACTCATAAATGAAGAGCTGAAGAACAAGCTTCAAATGTTCATGTATCATTTGAACACTTCTGTGTGTTCATCAAACAAAGCGTGTGGAATATAACAACATAGAATGAAGGTACAGTATCCACACGGTGAACACTTCATGTATCTAATCTCTACTTCACATAGTTCATAATCGCCTGGGCACAGATGTTGTGCATTGAAGGTTCACATTTTGTCCATAATGACTGTGCTGCCTGTAGCCAATCTCTCACTTGCAGTTCCTTTGCATTTTTCATCTTGACACGATTCATGATTCTTTTTCACTTTCTGACACAATGATTTCAATGAAATGCCATAGTGCCTGAGCCATTATAACCTCATCATGCATGATGAAGAATGGAAAACTAAGGGAGCGGAAGATAGCCTCTGATCAATATCATGACTTTAACAACATCAACACAGCATAGATCAATAGCATCAGCAAATCCCATTTGCTGTTGTAGTTTGTCAGTTTTCTTATTCCTCCAAAATAATTCAATAAAATTAATTGCATGCAGGTGTTATGTGAGGGTCTTTGGAGAATATGTGCAGTTGATTCTGAGGTACAAATTATTTTGAAGTGCAAATTAGTTGGAAGGAGCAACTAGAGCCATATATCTACTCATACATCACATTGTGTTTGGATACAACAACAAATCACTGGGATAAACTTTCTGTAGGAAATGAGTCTAGTGTCACTCTCTGGGAACCACACTGACCAGATTGTGTTACCCAACACATTAAGGAAGAACCACATCTAAATAAATAATCCATAACTTAAGTGTTTGATCCCTCAGATGGCTTCTGAAATGCATGAGAACTGTTTAGATCAATAAATAAGGTCTACCAGGAGAAATATGAGGCCTTTATTCATCATATCCCACTGAGATTGTGCTGCCGCACACATAACCCCAGGACACTTTACTCTTTAAAATGTCCTTACTCTCACAGTCCCAGGGATATTCTCAAAACTGAAAACTCAAAGAGCCATGGCACCATTTTAAAAGGAAAGAAAACCTTTGTAAGTTCTGTATATACTTTTTATAGTGGCATTTTAAATGTCATAATTTTCAGCATTTTAAACAAACATTTAGGAATATCCTATGTAGGCCTTTGTCATAATTATTTGTTTATAACCAACACATTCTCTTGGGGCACAAGCCAATCTGTTAGCCTGAAGTCAGGTGTGATTGTGTGAACTCCGCCCAGCCGAAGCGACAGGCGAACTAAATCAAACGCACCCACATATCTTCTGACGTAGTGAAAATGCGCGGTAGACCTCTGATTGAAAAGGTTTCCTTCCAGAGCCATTGAAGTGAGTACTAGGTTACTTCCCGAGTTTTTCCTGCTTCTGTGTGTAATAATTGTTAAACGAAATTGTATTGTATTGAAAATCATGTCATATAAAGTAGACAACTGAGATAAGTTTGAACAACTCTCATAAATATGCGTTGATTGAATTGAGATAATCTCCTGTAGCGCCGGTTGTTGTTTTGCTAAACTACTTGATCACGTGTTCCTGCTTGGGGGGAAAACAATAGGCATATTGCTCTCTTGTGAAAGTGAAACTTAAGCTACAAATAGGCCTGTGCACTAATTTGTTGAAAGGTGTCTGCAAACGGATTAAATGTGAATGTGAGTTTCATTGTGAAGACAGTAGGCAATATAACAATATATGATGGAAATATTATAGGGGCAGTCTAAACCTAAAGGATGTGCGCCTGTAAATAGCCATAGGATGTATAGATAAACCTAGTAATGTACCATATAGTAATCAGAGAATAGACAAGCACAACTTGGAGCAGAAATATGTAAAATTACAGTAGCCTATACTGTAGGTGAAAATACATATACATTATTTATTAATCCGTTTACTCGGGACATTCTTCTGACAGTTTTTTTCAATGTAATTTGTTTTTGTAGGCTTTGTGAGACCTGACGATGAAGCCAGTAATAGTTGTGCATGGCGGTGCATGGGCCATCCCTGATGATATGGCTAAGGCATCTGTGGACGGGGTGAAGTCTGCGGCTACTGCAGGCTTTCTGGCTATGAAGAGAGGAGGCAGTGCATTGGATGCTGTTGAGCTGGCTGTTAGGGCCTTAGAAGATAACCCAACATTTGATGCAGGTACATTTTGTACAATCACCTCTCAGACTCAGAGCTCACCCAGTTATTCTCCAGGCAGATCTCTCTGCGCTGCTGGTATGGCGACTGGTTGGGCCCTGCATCTTGGAGATGAAATTGTATCTCCAATGGTGATAGTTCTCTATTGAAACATATCGTAGATATTTTCATATTTTTGCAGAGATCAAAATGAGTAAACATTTTGTTTTGGTTCAACATAATCGTTTATTTTAGGCTTCAATTCTAATATGTTGCTTGCAAACTCCATTTGTGATAGTACATTCTCTCTGGTTTCATATTCAGATGCATTTTAGTTAGAGAGCTGCTCTAGGCTCATGAATTTTAAATTCAATTAAGTTCTGCATCTCTTTGATTTCAGCAAGTGCCACATTTAAAACACTTTACCCACTGACCCTATTTAAACTTTTAATCTTAAGCATTTTTCACAGAGGGCCTGAATATTTTTCCATGTAATTTTCTGATGTAGTTTCCAATGGTAGAATAGGGTAGTATTAATATCAGAAGGGCATCATGACATGTGATAAGTGCCATGTAACACACGTCCTCTACTCTTTCACGTTCCATTGTATTTCCTTTTGTACTTATGACGCCTCGATCACTCCGACAGCGTCGTTGCATTTTGGTACATCAGAAGTACATTCATTTCCAATGGAACACTGCGTTTGCCTTGCAGCATTGCGTTGCAGAGACAGTTGCAGTGTGTTCTGTGTGGTGCATACATTGGATTTATCGAACGTAGGCGTCAAACTGTATGTGTAGACGGCTTGACAGAAATGGTAGCATAAAGTGAATGTTGAACTTTTGTTGCACACATATCCAGATGATGCTGCGTACTATTTTGCGCGATGATGCTATCGGTGTGATCAAGGCGTAAGGAGTCTACTTAACGATCAGTCTAATGGCATTGAACGGTTTGGAGCAATCATTGGATTACACCAAACCATATGGAGAAAAACAAGACACTTCATTAACACACTCAGCTTATCAGGACTCATCTAGTTTGTGATGGCTAACTGCCACATTAGGTGAAATGCCAGATCCTCTTTAAGGCATTGGAGCTAAATCAGCACTTTGTCACAGGATAATTGTATACACTGAAGCAGTCGGCACTCAGGAGCAAGGTCTAATCAATAGACGACTAATGCAATCTCACTTTGGGGGAAAAGACTGCAAGTTTGAATTACCTCTGGGTGTGGTGAAGAGACCTGATATTGTGTTATTACAAAGCAATAGGCAGCTCATTGTACTCCATTGACATTGATCAACTTTTTTATCAACACACTGTTAAGAAGAAGAAAGTGTTTCAAAATATGCAACCACGCTGCCACAAATATCAATAGATTTCCAATTTGGCTGAAGTAAGAAATGGCAAAAAAAATACTATTTATTTTGGGGTTGCATGACAAACTCTTGACCAACTCTTTCCTTTAGTCATGGTCTGAGAGAGCCTGACCCCTGATGAATGTGACCCACCATTTCATTTCAGGTCATGGAGCAGTACTGAATACTAATGGAGAAGTGGAGCTGGACTCCATCATTATGGATGGAAGGACCCTAGCTGCTGGAGCTGTGTCTTCAGTGAAGAACATCGCCAACCCTGTGTCACTGGCCCGTGCCGTGATGGAAAAGGTTATCTTTCTCTTTGTCCAAGCTTTTCTTATTTCCTCTTTCTTTTCTCTCATCTTAGCTAAACAATGCATGCGAGATAAGTCTCCTAGAAGAGAAGGAACACTAGGTACAGCATTGATCTGGCTGGAGCCTTGGTCAATCATCCTTTTTTGTTTGTTTGGAAGAATACTTTGAAATGGTGGATTTTGTTCCCTTCCGTTTTCCTGTTGCCAGTAGTGCTGAGCGATTAGTGCTTTTTTCGGTCGGTTTGGATTCGGTTCGTTATTTAAAAAATAATCACAGTTTTAGATTTTTTTTAAAACATTAAATGCACTATTATGTGTGTTGAATGCTGTAACACAGAATAAAACAATTAATAAAAGTCACATAATGGTAGTGACTGCCCATGACTGCTTATCACTTATTAACCATCAGTTATTCACATTACTTTACTTTAATAAAATATTTCAGTTGTTGTGTATATTACATTTGATTACTATTAATTCATCCCAAGTCATCATTTACATTTACATTTTAGTCATTTTAGCAGACGCTCTTATCCAGAGCGACTTACAGAGTGCATACATTTTTATTTTTTATACTGGAATCGAACCCACAACCCTGGCGTTGCAAACGCCATGCTCTACCAACTGAGCTACATCCCTGCCGGCCATTCTCTCCCCTACCCTGGACGACGCTGGGCCAATTGTGCGCCGCCCCATGGGTCTCCCGGTCGCGGCCGGCTACGACAGACCCTGGATTCGAACCAGGATCTCTAGTGGCACAGCTAGCACTGCGATGCAATGCAATGCCTTAGACCACTGTGCCACTCAGGAGGACATCTCATCTCTATAGAGCTGCTGCCTATACTGTCTGACAAAATCACTATTTTAGGAGTTCCTCAAAGTAAATAAGGCATACTTTTATAACTGCTGAAAACCAACTATCAATCACTTAGATCATATATTTTCAGGTAGCGATTCCTCGTGAAGCAACTTCTCTCATCCCTCTTCATCACGCATTATTTTGTATTTTCTCTCATTGTCCTTGTCTGCCCACACTAACCTAATGTTGCAGGCATAAAAGTAACACACAGACCGGACAAGTAGGCGCGCAATGGATTATGGTCATTGTAGTTAATAACCAAGTTTTCTGCGCTAAACTATGTAGAATATTGGCCTGTTGGAAACTACAGTTCCCTACTACATTGCACAGTTTGGCCTTGAAATGATTTATCTCTACAGAAACTGAACAATGTGCCCATTGAGCTCACAGAAAAACCCCAAACGAAGTGGAATTCAAATAATTGAACCAATGTTGGCCAATTTGTTGTTTAAAAAACAAAAAATAACCGACATTTCTGTTAAATCGTTCAGCACTAGTTGCCAGGTTAATTAACCGTCTTTAGAAACATCCCACCTTTGTTTGTGTCACCCTTTTACTACCTTTTGTGCTGCTTTTCCACTCAGTAATAAAGGGCTTTTATTCCGCTAACCAAATATAGCACTTCACTCCTCTGAGCTGCTGAAAGTGCAAAGTGTCAGGTCAGAACATATATAACATATGAAGAGCTATAATGCCAGGCTATTATTTTCTGAAAATGTTTGCAAAGGTGTGTAGATGAATCACATTGATCAGGCACACAGATTTACCAGAGCTAGACGTTGTGAATAATTGATACATCACATGATAAAACAGCTTATTGAAAGGTGAAAAACCATTACATTACATTTATGAATTTGGATAGAACTGATATGGTTGTCAGTGATACAATTTTGAGTGTGAATACCATTTTCTGTCAGCTCTCCTGTTTTACGGTTGCAATTCAATTGAGTACTTTGCTATAAAAGTAAAGTAAATGAAAATTATAACTTGAATTTGGTTTTAATGCAATGATAAAGATAGCTATAGGGGGGCTATACAGAATCTACTGTGTACGGAAAGCTGTTTTTATCTCGGCTCTAGTCTAAGAGTGGAAACGTATTGACTTCTCTACACATAGTTATTGCCATCCTTGAAAGCTTGAACATTTCCTTTTAGCAGGAATCAAAGGAAAATCTAATTAAGGCGGGTTTTTGATTGATTTTAATCTCGATCCTTTCAGGTGATGAGAATTATAGTTTGATTATATAATTTACTCACAAGGGACATTAAGGACTAGCTCATTGAAAAATGCAGATCTATTATGTGATGTAGCACTGAAAGTGATGAGAAGTTTCAGATTTCACAGAACAGAATGAACAGAACAATTTATTCTAACAGCTAGGAGGTTATTAACAGGTAGAATGTGTAGGGTGGGAGGCATCTTTGTACTCACTTGGCTACTTGGTAATCTTGTAATGCTGTCAACTAATACCTCACTCCAGATGCTATCTGACAATGGATGGGCAACACGACTAAGATGAAGGCCTGTTACAAAAGACTGACAGCGCATCGTATTAACATAACATCTTCCATGATTTATTAATTTGCCTGACACCTTCCATCAAAATAACTGACAGGGTTTATAATTAATTGTTCGGGATACAGATTCTTCTAATTTTCTCTAGTGAAGTCTGCTCAGTTGCAGCGGAGATACACATTTGAAGTCATTACTCCCCTTCTAGACTCTTTGAAACATAACCACACAGCGATATTGCTACAATTATGTTTTCTGAATAGCCACTGTAAAGAATACAATCTTCGGAGTCCCTGAAGTTAGGCAAGACCAGACAAAAATAATAGGCTTTTTGTCTCCTATTTTTACCCAACAAATCAGTGCATTATTACCTAGCCTGACAATTCAAAGTACTACGTGTTTATACCGGTGAGATTCCAACCATCCTAGTTTACTCCTTTTTCAGGATGGATTTATATTCTCAAAGTGTGCTGGTTTTCTCCTGCATTACCCTACCGATTAAAGATTAGATACTAACAAGTCTTGCATCATGGAACATAAAAAAACATGGTGAAGCTTCACCTTGTCACTCAGGGAACACAAAAGACACAGTGGCCAAATGTCTGGGAGAATGGATGATCTTGGGTACCTGTCACCACCCTGAAAGACCATGGTCCTGCTCTGATCTGCTCTGTATTCACTAGCAGATCTGTTTAACAGCTTGGTGTTCCTTCCTGTTATCTAGAGTGCACCCGGCCTGACAGAGAAAAATTACATGAATAACCATTTTAATATTTAAACATTTCTCAATAGGACTAATGGTGTTCTCCTGTCTCCCATTACACATTACACAGGATAAAACAGAGCATTAAGACTGTTCTCCATTTACAACAGTTGAGAATGTACAGGTAACTGCCAAAATTAAGGAAACGCCAACATAATGTGTCTTAATAGGGCGTTGGGCCAGAACAGCTTCAATGCACCTTGACATAGATTCTACAAGTGTCTCTCTATTGGAAGGATGCGACACCATTCTTCCACGAGATATTCCATAATTTTGTGTTTTGTTGATGGTGGTGGGAAAACGCTGTCTCGGGCGCCGCTCCAGAATCTCCCATATGTGTTCAATTGGGTTGAGCTCTGGTGACTGAGACGGCCATGGCATATAGTTTACATCATTTTCATGCTCATCAAACCATTCAGTGACCTGATTTTGCCCTGTGGATAGGGGCATTGTCCTCCTATGAGGGCATAGCCATGGTAGCCAAAATAATGGCCTGCCCAGCATGTTTATACATGACCCTAAGCATGATGGGATGTTAATTGCTTAATTAACCCAGGAACCACACCTGTGTGAAAGCACCTGCTTTCAAAATACTTTGTATCCCTCATTTACTCAGGTGTTTCTATTATTTTGTCAGTTACCTGTATGTATCAGCTTAGTAAAACTTTTGCAGTTTTAGTTGCTCTCTAGAAACGTGTGAGATTCACATTCCCTCCATTGCCGGAAATGAAAACAGTGGTAGTGAGAGAAAAAGGAGAGCAATGAAGGAAGAAATAGGGTGATAACAGCACAGCTTTGGTCTCCTTGGTTACAAGTGTGGCTCTAGAAACATGCACTTCTTTTCATAGTTGCAATACAATGTAAAGAGTAAATCACACTAATTTGGTAGGTGCAGCAAGTGGCTAAACACTGAAGAAAGATATCCCTAATTTCCTGGCTAAAGATAGTATCATGATTACAACCAATTCCATCCCCCCATAAAAGTGTATCAACATCCTCCTCCGCATTATCACAAAGAAATGGGCTGTATCGCTTTCCTCCTTGTTGTCCATAGAAATCTCATGTCAGCTATATACATGGAAATACCAAGAGAAGGGCTGATAAATATTAGATTGAAAGAGATGGAATTGCACTTTGGATGAATGAAGGCCCATTGCGGTTTTGTATCAGGGGAAGGTGTCAGACTCATGGCATTCACACAACAGGTATGGATTTAAGATCAGATGTGGCTCAGATGTTATGGATAGTGTTACGGCACATAACAGGCAGGTCAAGGTTACCTGCCAGTCTTGTGAGCCAGGCTTGCTGATAGGTTTAAATGGGCCGTGATGCTACATAACCAGGGGCTAATAGATTTGCTCTGAGGGAATGTTGATTTAGCATAATGGATGACAGGATGTGTCTGAGGCAACTCACTGCTATACTGTATAGTGCCTGGGATTACTAATTCCTTCAGAAGAGGGGAAAAAATTCCCATTCAGATTATTACAATTTTATTTTCATTTCTTCGCACACAATTCAATCCTGGTAACACATGTAACATTATTACAGTCTAATGTTCAAAAAACAAACCTAAACTGCAGACATTTTTATTTTCTGTTTTTCTATCTTATCCCCTATGCTTGCTGCCATGGGGATGCACTCAGACCGACCACATCATGTTGACAGACAGAGGTGCAAACATGTTTGCTGAAAGTGTTGGCATACCTACAGTCCCTACAGACGCCCTGGTGACAGAATGTGAGAGAAAAGAGTGGGAGAAGGCTAAGAAGTATGCTGTTGGAGTGAAGGAGCTCTTCAACTCTCAATGGTAAGAAGAATCTCCATTCATTTGTTATACCTTGGCTTGGACATATAGTTTGCAACTATTCTGTAACACCAACCTAAGAAATACCATAAAGCCAGACTAAATTATAACCTCCCTTTCTGATGAATTATATTCACATTACAGTATGTTAAATAGGCTTTCCATCCTCCTGAAGACGACAAAGTAACTTCAGTAAATCAAAACGACATCACTGAGGCATTATGCCTGCCATGCAGCTGAGCGCTGAAGAAATGTGCAGCAACCACCCAGAAATCCTATGAAATGAATTCTCCCACTATAGAGACAGCTGGTCCATCGTTGCACACTGCCAAGGAACGAGACAAGTTGACACAGTAGGGGAAGCAATCTGTGAGGCAGGCTGAATGTGAGAGAAGCAGCGGCAGGCTGTGTGATAGATGATTTGACAGTTACGGTGTGGTAATTCTGGAGAAGACTTCCATTCCCAGCCTTCCTTCCCATTGAGTGACATGTCAGAGCTAAGAAACTCAGTAACACTGCAAAGTGGTGTCATTGTTGAACAACCCCATTGACTGTTGAAAATGATAAGCTTTTTAGTGTGTGAGAGATAGAACAGAGCGAGGGAAAGAAAGATGAAGCTGGGAACGTAATGGCCTTAAGCTAGTCTGCAAGTAGAAAGCCGAGATATTAATACATTCAAAACGGACAAAGTTAGATAAAGTGATTGTGCAATGTTTTCTGTGGTGTGTGTGAGTGTGTAAATGTGTCTGATTAGTAGGATAAGAATACACCTTCAACACATCCCTGTCAAAGCCTTCTCATCTCCCCAAAGGAGATGACAAAAAGGCTAGCTGGAAAGTTTGATGTTAGAATTGTCTGGTCAGACACTCACTACCTCACAAATGTTCCCATTCTCACCATTTCTCAAGGTCTGTAGTTATCTGTAGAGTAACTCTGGCAGCCCAGCAATTTCTGAGCAGCATGACGTGGTAGAAGCACTAGACTCTATTGGGAAATTGTGAGTGTGTTGAGAGGCTGGAGACACATAGCCTGGGGTTTGCCGTGACCCCGCTCTCCGAGGGGGTCTCAGGCGGAGTTGGGATATGCAAAAAACACATTTCCAATTCACACATTCATAATAATACACACTTGTACTGTTTCGGATGGGAAGCATGTGGACGCCTTAACTCCAACAACCCCAAGCCCAGTGGGAAGAAGTAGAAAAAATAGCGCGCTGTCTGGAAGTGCTAAGTGACAGTTGGCTGAGCTACAGCCTTTTCTCTCTCTCTCTGCCTCAACCTCTGCTTCCTTATTAATGGTGTCCTGGTGTTCAAGTCCAAGGCATTGGCACTCCATGTGTTTTAATACAGAGCCCTTGGAACTCATTTACTCTCTGACTTCATTTAAGGCGATTATGCCGAGACCCTTTGCCCAGTCGAATTGACCCTGGTCAATATATAACATCAGTAGAGTGGAAATGACAGCACACAGCTAGGTGTGTGCTGCTGACAGAAGTCGGCAAGGCCATACGTATGCGCCACGGCTGTATTCAACTACAATGGTAATTAGCTGTGGCTTTCAGGGCCCACAGGGAAATTGTATTAGTAACATTTAGACCTCAGCTGGCTATATGGCCCCTGAGGATCAGATTTGACTTTGTTACACTTTTCACTGAGGTCACGAGACATTACATGTCTTAGATTATTCAAGTTTTATATCTCCTAAAATACTACCAGAATAATGGCTTGGTGGAGATTAAAAAGCATGCTCCATTAGATTGTTTATATATATTTAAAGATTTACATATAACTGCTCTTCAGTTACAGGAGTTTGAGAATAGAGTCCACCATCAAACACTTTCTGAGATTTTGTTTTCACCTGAATCCATGAGCCAGATCTATCCATCAGCAGTGATTTAATGGCGCAATCAGACACCTGTCAAATTTGATTGATGTCTGCCATCAGGAATTCTCCCTAACTGGTCCTCACAAATGTTCCTTTTAAAATGGTGGTAACCCACTTCACTTGCTGAAACATTAGTTTGGATGTTATTTGTTTTGCCCTTGACCTATATCGCTTTCCCATACACCTGCAATGTCTTACATACAATGCTGTCTGTCTTAAGTATTTTTGTTTCATTGAAACAAAGAAAGAGAAAACCCTGAAGTATTGTATCTAGTTCAAGGTGTTGATTTTGCCAGGAACTAGTATCCAAAACAAGTGTAAAAACCGAACACTAGTAGACGACGACTTTGACTTCAATCTAGTTGTTATTTTTAATTTCAAGGTGCATGAACGAACAACACGTTGAAGCTACACAGGAAACATGGTATTCATTTATGCACCTTGCAATAAAAGAAAAAATAGATTGTCAAGTCAAGGTCAGTCGTCTACTCGTGTGTGATTTTTACAGTTGTTTTGGATACTTAGTTGTATCATTGTTGTCACAAAATGTGTTTATCAACAAGCGTTTCAACATTTATTCCCTAGAAATCATCTTAATGTATTCCAGTATATTTCTGGATATGCAGCACGAATATATACAGTAGGCAAGATACAGAACCAGGTTGAATGTATATCTCTTCCCTGTCATTGTATACAGGCAGATGATAGGAACATATGCAGGAAGGCTTTCTGAAGGGCAGTTTTTCGAAATAAGTATTTATGGAAATACTCACTCTGTTCACAGCAAGCATTTTTCTTGTCAAAACTGAAATTGCACCGCACATTTGTAGGAAAAAACAAACTATTGCTGTTCCCTCTGCGTGTACAGAACCATCAATGTTCTTTCTCATTTTGTGAAAGGACATTGTGAGGTTTGGAGAAATTGAGGTGCAAACTAAATTGACCACAATGTCAACCCTATTGTTTCTTTGTTTTGATAGATTCACTGATTTCTTTGGAGAGTTTCTACAAATAGCTTTATACCATGTGCTCTGTTATCACCTGCAGAATATACTGTAGCTCTTTCTCCATGTAGGGGCCACGATACTGTTGGAGCCGTTGCTAGAGACTGTTCTGGTAATGTTGCATGTGCAACTTCCACTGGAGGAATAAGAAACAAAATGGTGGCCAGAGTAGGAGATTCTCCAATCATAGGTAAGTAGCTGTGTATTAACCTATCCTGAACAGTTTATGTATGTTGATTGAAGTTTTATTTGTCCTTCTCTTGTCTCTGGTAATAAGGGTCTGGTGGGTATGCGGACAACCTGAGTGGTGCAGTATCCTGTACTGGCCATGGAGAGTCCATCCTGAAAGTCACCCTGGCCAGACTCATCCTCTTCCACGTAGAGCAAGGTAATGTAAGCCTAATCGGAATCACTTTGTAATAATTCACAAAGTCACATGGGTATCATAGTCACAGTTATCTTATTATTGAATGGACTTTATCTACAATGTGATATGTGAATGTAGGCATTTGATAAATTGCCCATATTGATGATTGTTTTGATTGCTAATAAGGATAATCCTGAGTCTGGATCAACCTCTTAATTGTTGGGTCTGGTTAATGAATGGCCTGGTGGATCAGATCGATTATGAGCCAAAATATTTCCCACCCACATAATTGGCCCAGTTAACTTTTGGCAATTTAATTAGCAAAGTGTCAGACAATCTGGTTGTCTTCCCCTGGCCAGACAGTAAGTCATGATGGATGTGCCAGGTCTTTGCATTAGGAAATCGAATTATTCTATAACCAAAAACTCAGATGCAAACACAGTTGAGTGTCAGATTTGATATAGAGAGGCGTTTGAAACTAATAGACTGTCAATTACAGACATGATACAATAGGAATAGTTAAATTAATAGTTAATGAAGCTGGGTTACATTCTCCTCTCTGTAATAGCTTCCATTAATTAAAGCAATTTTGTCATTTAAATATCTAATTAGCAGCTCCTCTTGGAGGAACAGAATGTTCGGAGGCTCTGGGAAACTTTAGAACAATTAGATCATCTACCGATACAAGAGACAAATTGATGTATCATTGTATGTATGGTTCCTACTTCTACCTGACAGAGCTCTAAGATTGAAGATAAAAACTCTCAAATAGATTAACAGTATCCAATCTATGCTAAAAGTGAATAATAACAGCCTATCGGCTCACACGGCTGAGACCCTCTTAGAATTGTAATCAGGACAGCAGAGTCCCATCTGGATTGGATCCTGCATACTGCATCCTGCAAGTGACTATGCTGCTTTTTCACATCCCCCTTTTTCACATTCTCCATTTTCACATCCTTTTATACCAATTTTGGTATGTAGCAATGGAACCTCTGACACAGAGAAAGGAGGTGAATCCAAGTACACTCCAAATCTATTCTCCATGATGTTTGATTGTTTTCAAGCAGTGCTCATTCTTTCCTTAACAACACTGGTTGTTGTGCATAGCCACAGTAACATTACATAGGATCTTCTTTTTTTTGCTCACAGGGAGTTGCACGTTTACACAAACATCAGCTTATGCGTGACCATGCCAAATTAATGCAAACATTGTGAAGTTTTGACATTGCCATTGCCAATCATTTTTAATTGGCAAGCGGTAGAAAGAGATGACTGAGCAGAGTTGGGCTGCAGTGGGCTGATAATGAGGCAACGTCTGTATAAGGGTCAGCGGGGCCAGTGTTGGTTACATTGTCCTCTGGTAATGACACGGGGAAATGGGAAGAATGGCTGATCTTTCTGCTCTGTCTTTGTGAGAGGTTTCTTCTGCTTCGTCAAATGGCTGCACTGCCCACAGCTACTGTGCCGTTCCTTTCTTTAGCGTTTGAATTAGAAAATGTTTTCATGGTTGCTTTAGAAGTAGCCTAGCTCCTAAAATGATTTCCCCCCACAGACAAATGACCTCGCACCTTTATTATCAGTGCAGTAGCTTGTTTGGAACTTCAATAACAATGTGTTTTGACAATAGTGTCAGGCTGGCTTATGTTTCATTTCAATTAATGTGAATGTTAAATCTGACTAGGCCCGCAATGGTATGCAATATGGGCCTGCAATGGCATATGGTTTTGTTAGGTCCCTACAGTAAGAATGAAATTTGTATGCATGTGTGACCAAACCTCACTTTGTTTCCTCTTTAAATAGGTAAAGGTGCACCTGAGGCTATAGAGGTCTCTCTACGCTACATGGGTGATCGGGTACAGGGAGGAGGAGGAGCCATAGTAGTTTCCCGGACAGGGGAGTGGGCAGCCAAGTTCACCACAGAGCGAATGGCCTGGGCAGCAGTGGAGAGAGAGGTTCTGTGGTATGGTTTGAACCCAAAGGAAGAGTTCAAGGAAACACTAACACAATAACAGCTTAATCTATAATTTGTTGGGGGAGGGGGGATACATAGAGTTTAAATAAAGTGTTATTGCGGAACACAGTGTCAAATTGACAAATGGAGCCTACTTACTGTAATTTTGTTGGCAAGAGAATTTAAAGGACTGGGAGAAATCTACAGTTGAAGTCGGAAGTTTACATACACTTAGGTTGGAGTTATTAAAACTCGTTTTTCAACCACTCCACACATTTCTTGTTAACAAACTATAGTTTTGGCAAGTCGGTTAGGACATCTACTTTGAGCATGACACAAGTCATTTTTCCAACAATTGTTTACAGACAGATTATTTCACTTATAATTCACTGTATCACAATTCCAGTGGGTCAGAAGTTTACATACACTAAGTTGACTGTGCCTTTAAACAGCTTGGAAAATTCCAGAAAATGATGTCATGGCTTTAGAAGCTTCTGATAGGCTAATTGACATCATTTGAGTCAATTGGAGGTGTACCTGTGGATGTATTTCAAGGCCTACCTTCAAACTCAGTGCCTCTTTGCTCGACATCATGGGAAAATCAAAAGAAATCAGCCAAGACCTCAGAAAAAATATTGTAGACATAAGTCTGGTTCATCCTTGGGAGCAATTTCCAAACACCTGAAGATACCACATTCATCTGTACAAACAGTAGTATGCAAGTATAAACACCATGGGACCACGCAGCTGTCATACCGCTCAGGAAGGAGACGTGTTCTGTCTCCTAGAGATGAATGTACTTTGGTGCGAAAAGTTCAAATCAATCCCAGAACAACAGCAAAGGACCTTGTGAAGATGCTGGAGGAAACAGGTACAAAAGTATCTATATCCACAGTAAAACAAGTCCTATATTGACATAACCTGAAAGGCCGCACAGCAAGGAAGAAGCCACTGCTCCAAAACCGCCATAAAAAAGACAGACTACGGTTTGCAACGGCACATGGGGACAAAGATCTTACTTTTTGGAGAAATGTCCTCTGGTCTGATGAAACAAAAATAGGACTGTTTGGCCATAATGACCATCGTTATGTTTGGAGGAAAAAGGGGGTGCTTGCAAGCCGAAGTACACCATCCCAATCGTGAAGCACGGGGATGGCAGCATCATGCTGTGGGGGTGCTTTGCTGCAGGAGGGACTGGTGCACTTCACAAAATAGATGGCATCATGAGGAAGGAAAATTTTGTGGATATATTGAAGCAACATCTCAATACATCAGTCAGGAAGTTAAAGCTTGGTCACAAATGGGTCTTCCAAATGGACAATGACCCCAAGCATACTTCCAAAGTTGTGGCAAAATGGCTTAAGGACAACAAAGTCAAGGTATTGGAGTGGCCATCACAAAGCCCTGGCCTCAATTCTATAGAAAATTTGTGGGCAGAACTGAAAGAGCGTGTGCGAGCAAGGAGGCCTACAAACCTGACTCAGTTACACCAGCTCTGTCAGGAGGAATTGGCCAAAATTCACCCAACTTATTGTGGGAAGCTTGTGGAAGGCTACCTGAAACGTTTGACCCAAGTTAAACAATTTAAAGGCAATGCTACCAAATACTAATTGCGTGTATGTAAACGTCTGACCCACTGGAAATGTGATGAAAGAAATACAAGCTGAAATAAATCATTCTCTCTACTATTGTTCTGACATTTCACATTCTTAAAATAAAGTGGTGATCCTCACTGACCTAAGACAGGGAATTTTTACTAGGATTAAATGTCAGGAATTGTGAAAAACTGAGTTTAAATGTATTTGGCTAAGGTGTATGTAAACTTCCGACAACAACTGTATATGTTTTAGTGTTTTCAAAAATTGTAGGCATTCTATCACAGAATATATTTGACAAAAGCTTGGTCAGTTTGAGCGAACTAGTTTTAAACTTGTTTAATTTTGTATGTAGATGTCATGATTTATAAATGTTTAATGGATTATGGATGTTTTTGTAATAATTACAACCTGCGGAAAAAACTAACTTCATTGAAGCAATTTTAAATAAATGACTTTCTCTCATCAATCCTCTCATCAATCTTATCAATTATTGAGCAATACAATGATGCTAGTAATTAATAACTGATATATCAGAAACCTAACAAACGTCAAAGGGCCTTTTGGTATTTCATTTATACAGTGAGGGAAGAAAGTATTTGATCCCCTGCTGATTTTGTACGTTTGCCCACTGACAAAGAAATGATCAGTCTATAATTTTAATGGTAGGTTTATTTGAACAGTGAGAGCAGAATAACAACAAAAAAATCCAGAAAAATGCATGTCAAAAATGTTATAAATTGATTTGCATTTTAATGAGGGAAATAAGTATTTGACCCCCTCTCAATCAGAAAGATTTCTGGCTCCCAGGTGCCTTTTCTACAGGTAACGAGTTGAGATTAGGAGCACACTCTTAAAGGGAGTGCTCCTAATCTCAGCCTGTTACCTGTATAAAAGACACCTGTCCACAGAAGCAATCGATCAATCAGATTACAAACTCTCCACCATGGCCAAGACCAAAGAGCTCTCCAAGGATGTCAGGGACAAGGTTGTAGACCTACACAAGGCTGGAATGGGCTACAAGACCATCGCCAAGCAGCTTGGTGAGAAGGTGACAACAGTTGGTGCGATTATTCGCAAATGGAAGAAACACAAAATAACTGTCAATCTCCCTCGGCCTGGTGCTCCATGCAAGATCTCACCTCGTGGAGTTGCAATGATCATGAGAACGGTGAGGAATCAGCCCAGAACTACACGGGAGGATCTTGTCAATGATCTCAAGGCAGCTGGGACCATAGTCACCAAGAAAACAATTGGTAACCTTAATGACTTGGAGAAGATCTGCAAAGAGGAGTGGAACAAAATCCCTCCTGAGATGTGTGCAAACCTGGTGGCCAACTACAAGAAATGTCTGACCTCTGTGATTGCCAACAAGGGTTTTGCCACCAAGTACAAAGTCATGTTTTGCAGAGGGGTCAAATACTTATTTCCCTCATTAAAATGCAAATCAATTAATAACATTTTTGACATGCGTTTTTCTGGATTTTTTTGTTGTTATTCTGTCTCTCACTGTTCAAATAAACCTAGCATTAAAATTATAGACTGATCATGTCTTTGTCAGTGGGCAAACATACAAAATCAGCAGGGGATCAAATACTTTTTTCCCTCACTGTATTGGTCTCTATACTGTACTTGGTGGCAAAACCCTTGTTGGCAATCACAGAGGTCAGACGTTTCTTGGAGTTGGCCACCAGGTTTGCACACAACTCAGGAGGGATTTTGTTCCACTCCTCTTTGCAGATCTTCTCCAAGTCATTAAGGTTTCGAGGCTGATGTTTGGCAACTCAAACCTTCAGCTCCCTCCACAGATTTTCTATGGGATTAAGGTCTGGAGACTGGCTAGGCCACTCCAGGACCTTAATGTGCTTCTTCTTGAGCCACTCCTTTGTTGCCTTGGCCGTGTGTTTTCGGTCGTTGTCATGCTGGAATACCCATCCATGACCCATTTTCAATGCCCTGGCTGAGGGAAGGAGGTTCTCACCCAAGATTTGACGGTACATGGCCCCGTCCATCGTCCCTTTGATGCGGTGAAGTTGTCCTGTCCCCTTAGCAGAAAAACACCCCCAAAGCATAATGTTTCCACCTCCATGTTTGACGGTGGGGATGGTGTTCTTGGGGTCATAGGCAGCATTCCTACTCCTCCAAACACGGCGAGTTGAATTGATGCCAAAGAGCTCGATTTTGGTCTCATCTGACCACAACACTTTCACCCAGTTCTCCTCTGAATCATTCAGATGTTCATTGGCAAACTTCAGACGGCCCTGTATATGTGCTTTCTTGAGCAGGTGGACCTTGCGGGCGCTGCAGGATTTCAGTCCTTCACGGCGTAGTGTGTTACCAATTGTTTTCTTGGTGACTATGGTCCCAGCTGCCTTGAGATCATTGACAAGATCCTCCCGTGTAGTTCTGGGCTGATTCCTCACCGTTCTCATGATCATTGCAACTCCACAAGGTGAGATCTTGCATGGAGCCCCAGGTCGAGGGAGATTGACAGTTATTTTGTTTCTTCCATTTGCGAATAATCGCACCAACTGTTGTCACCTTCTCACCAAGCTGCTTGGCGATGGTCTTGTAGCCCATTCCAGCCTTGTGTAGGTCTGCAATCTTGTCCCTGACATCCCTGGAGAGCTCTTTGGTCTTGGCCATGGTGGAGAGTTTGGAATCTGATTGATTGATTGCTTCTGTGGACAGGTGTCTTTTATACAGGTAACAAGCTAAGAGTAGGAGCACTCCCTTTAAGAGTGTGCTCCTAATCTCAGCTTGTTACCTGTATAAAAGACACCTGGGAGCCAGAAATCTTTCTGATTGAGAGGGGGTCAAATACTTATTTCCCTCCATTAAAATGCAAATCAATTTCTATCATTTTTCTGGATTTTTTTGTTGTTATTGTCTCTCACTGTTCAAATAAACCTACCATTAAAATTATAGACTGATCATTTCTTTGTCGGTGGGCAAACGTACAAAATCAGCAGGGGATCAAATACTTTTTTCCCTCACTGTATCTAGCTAATGATTGAATTGTGACCATTACAATAACTCTGTGAGGAAAGGAAAAATATCCTACACATGAGCCCAGACTCGTCATTCCTTCATGTCAGGACTCAGGTAAATCATTAGCCTTAGTTTCCCTCATGGCAGCTTAATCCATGTCTGAAGCAAAGTGTGTGACCAATGGTCCATAAGTAACTATTTAATTTCATACAGACCATCCTAAATTGGAAGGTTAAATTAACAGAATTTATTCATCCATAGTTTTCATCCATAGTTGAACAAAAATACAAGAACTAAAAACAGTTGCAGAAACTTCACACGTTATAAATACCTATTCCTGTAACATATTATCAATGTCAATCCATACTGTATTCTAGGTGCTTACTGAAGCACTATATAAACCTCATTCCACTCAATGACCACCAGGAAATGGGAACTTCTATTCCATAAGAGCAATGCATCAGAATGTTATCACCTCTGCTCCAGGACTTTATGCAAAGGAGATAAAATCTCTTAAATTCATCAGTTTGGGATTGGGTTCACATTTTATGCTAATGTCTGCCCATAAGTGATAAGCAGTGTTTTCCTCTTTTGGACATTGTTGTCTTGCCCTCTTTATGACTAATTGGTTGACATT